TGAGTTGAAATGTCTCTTTCAGTATATTGTCTATGAAGTAAAATGTAAGAAAAATCTATACTAATATTAGAAAGAAGTTGGCGACTTTAGATGTTCGTGGTAATCTCCGGTACTACTCTAATTTTGAAAATAATTTCACTGTCAATCGATAAAATAAATCAGTTGCAGTGGCCAGAGTAGACCAGTTCCTACGGGCAGCATTCGTTCACGAGTATGACGGATTGTATGGATTTGGTACACGGGTAGGTAGTATTTTTATTTCAAACACAGGATATTTTATATAAAGATTTACGCAGGTGAGGCTGCATGAAATTAGTAGTAATTAATTTGTATATATATTTAATATTATAAAGAAGAAATATTGCATTTTTTGTTTCTTTGTCTATAATAATTATATAGAGGAAAGATTTGATTGTTTGTTTGTACTGAATACATTTAAAAAGTATTTAACTGATTGTATAGTTAACTATACCAGTTAGGGGGAGGGCCCCATTGCAATGCACTCAACCAGTTCTTCTTCTACGAGGTTCCCCCTTAAAACCATTGTGGTTAATTCTTGGTCAATTCGTCACGATTGGTCAACTGACCTGACTTCATCTCCATTTATCGCCGATCACTGGACTCCTTTAGGGTGTACAGGTAGCACAGGCGAGGATCCCATTCCATTTTCATCCATTAAAAAATCTATATTAGTGAGTAGTCAGTCGAGTCAGGCATATTTCGCCAATCAACAATTAAGTAAGCACCACGAAAGTACGTATTGCGCAAGCGTGTATACCGACACTTATGCCGTAAGGTTATATTAGAAACATATTATGCTTGTATTACGTCGTAAAGGCATTTAATGATGCGTACATAATGTTCAACTATAGTACTTATACACGTAACAATAGAGTTCAGTGAAAATGTAGAATAAACGATTAATTGACTACGACCATAGACAGTAAAAAAAAAAAGAGTATTTTTTTATGCAACATAGAATGACAAACAAGCTGACAGCCCATCTGATGGAAAGTGGTAAACTTCGTCTATAGACATGAGCAGTACTATGGACATAACAGAGTATACTGTTTCGCCCATGATACCCTCCATGCGTTGCCATTTCTGAGGACTCAGGTGTTATTATATGTATTGTTCATATCTATAGGTGACCGTTATCATTTTTCATCAAGTTAGCCATAATCTAGTTTGTAATTCTACGTTGCATTAAAAAAAATTGGAATTTAGACTAAATTATAACAATGCAATTAGGAGTTCTACTTAGTACCAATAGCAGGGCCGTAGCTAGACCCAAGTTTAAGGTAGGGCAAAAAAACTTTTTGGTAGGGCAGAAGCCATAATTAAGTGACATCGAAAAAGCGAATCTGTCTCATTTTATTAGAGCATTTTCATTTTAAAGTAGGGCATTGCCTGTCAATGCCGTTCCTTCCCCCTTCCTTCTCCCTTCCCCAGTTATAGCCATGACCAACAGTCACTAGTATACATACAAATAACACCAGTTCGTTAAACGAAACAAGTTAACTTTTAATTTTGTTGTAGTAATTATTATCTTTTACGTCACTAAACTAGAAATATGTTACCGATAATATCAAATTGATTGTTTACTGAATAACAAAAACTTGTGTCTGATATTCATTGAAGAGTATCCATATTTGTCGACAGTGAATTATTATGAATCATTATCAAAACAAACAATTAAATGACATAACTACTATGAAAATTACAGTTATTTTGTAAAGTAAAAAAATTGTTTCTGATTTGATTGATTAAGCACCCCTGGACCACCCATTATTTCCTCTCTTCATGATACCGTATAGTCTTGGCATAGAATAGGCTACTTTTTCGTTTCTCTTGGATGTGATAAGAGTCGATTAAGGCAATGTAATTGTCGAGGGATGGGCAGCAGCGTTTCGCTTAAAATGTCACCAAAGCTTAATTGCGGATAAGTGCCAACCCGTCTGCCAAGCGTGGCACCTACTGGCAAAACTTTCCTTATGGGGAAAACCTATGTTGAGCAGTGGATATATATATATATATATATATATATATATATATATATATATATATATATATATATATATATATATATATATATATATATATATATATATATATATATATATATATACTATATTATATAGTTATATAGCTAGTTTTAACCGGCCACTACGTACGAGTGACCGAGAAATGTTTATTGATCAGAATGAAAAGTAATCTATACTCTTTTCCATCCCATATTACACGTGTATATCGGATTTCTTAGCGATTGATTAAGCGCTATAAAATAACAAACAAACAAACTCACTTTCATATTTATTATATTAGTAAGAACAGAGATTAATATACATTTATATACATATTTCCTATTTTACTCTGATAGTAATTATGTTATCATCCTTAAAATCAATCGCTCATTTCTGTGAACCTGTGAATATCATGTTGATATTGTTTATCAATATAGAATTAGAGGGATAGTAATGAGTTCCAGGGATCTTACTACTAATAATAGGTATACCTTGTCCTTAAAATCTGTCAACTACGATAAAGTAAATAATTCAGAAAAATCAAAATCAAGAGTGCAATGATATAGCGTTTATTTGGTCCAATCTCGGCTTATTAGAAGTCGACCCGAGAGGAATTCGGTCGCTTAAATACTTTTTTAAATGCTCCAAAACGTGTTTCTAACAGCAGTTTGCCGTGGCGATTTAACCTTATTTGATTATAAAATGTTATGTAATTTGCACATTTAAATGTCATTATAGTATAATTCAATACTTAAAGTTTGAAGACGAAGGTCTCTAACCAATGCGTGTTGTTAATGATGACCTATAAAATCGAAACATGGTCCTACATGGTTACCAGTATGCAAAGGCTTCAATTTGTTCAGCGAGCTATGAGAGAGGCTGGGAGTTTCTTTGCGTGACAGAATCCGATATGAGATCCGATATGATAAAATTTAAAAAAAATTAGAAAAACACTGGTATATAAAAAGGGTATAAATATAGTAAATAACAAGGAATAAGTAAGTGCATAAAACATGCCTACCTCGATTTGGAATCAAAATTTTTGTTTGTATGAATAAAATCCATTATTGGCTGTATTCATGAGAGACTTAGCATGTAAGTTATTTTTTAAGAGCTGTGGATTTTTGTATAAAATAAAATAAAAAAAATATTTATTTTATTTATTTATTTACCAGTAATACTTTGTACACACTAATTATATATTAAAATATGACAGAGGTAATCAAATGTACAAAGGCGAGCTTAACTTTAAAAGAGTTCTCTTCCAGCAAACCTTAAGTGGAACGGAGCATCAATGTCAGCAGATAAAGTGGCAAATATATACAATATAGACATGATATATAAAATGTAACTACATATAATTTAAAATAGAGACTTGATGGCTGTTTGTAAAATATTTTTGAAGGCGTCCAGATGCGAGTTGAAGATATCTATTTATATAAGAAATGACATACCTCAAAAAGGAAGAAATTTTCAATTCCTTGGATTTTTTTTATGTTTACGCGATATCTTTGTCAAAACTGAACCGATATTGATAATTCTTTTTGCAATCAAACAGTTTGAAACAAGTTTATTAACAAAACATATATTTGCCATTTCGCAACAGTATGAAAATAAAAATATACACAAAAAGCAACTTATTATAGTAAATCGAGAGATGTCAAATTATTAGTTTATTGTGAAGCACCGTGCCATATAAATTCTATGGTCTTCACATACGTATATATGTGAAGAGCATGTCTATTCCCCATTGTAAGCAGAAATCAATACTCCCATTCAAAGTTTCAAACTGACTTCTTTCGCTTCCTCCACGTCAGTTACGAAGTTATCAGTTCGGACTAACGTACGTATAAAAAATTAGAAAATTTTTACTTAATTTTATAGGTAAACATGAAAGTATGTTTGTTAGCTCTTGCCACTTTAACGATTCGTCAAATAGTCACGAAATTTGGCATTGGCATATTCAAGATTAATTTCTAGGGCTGAGCCTGATGTGGGGGGGGGGAGGCTTAAAAAGGAGCATTATGTACTCTAAGATATATATTTCGCATAGTTAAAATTTCTGCACTTTCCCTGAGGAGGGCACCACACTATTCCAGGGTGGGCACGACCCACCCGGCCCCTTAAATACGCCTATGTATGTACGTAGTACTTGTATTTGGGATGGTGAAAAAGGCTACCTATTATTCCTGTTAATCAATATATCTCGATCACGCGATTATCAGAGGGGGACTTTGTACAAGGCGTTTGCTTGGGTACCTCTGTTCCATTCGTGTTTCAACTGTGAAGCAGTTGTGTTTGCATGGCTGTGTTATGGTTTGAAGGGTGGGATATGGCAGTGAATTTACAAGGTACATAGGAATAACACCTGAGTTCTCAGGAATAGCAACGCATGAAAGGAATCATGGGCGAAGCAGTATACCCTGTTATGTCCATGGTAATGCACATGTCTGTAGGTGACGGTTACCACTTTCTATCAGGTGGGCCATCAGCCTGTTTGCCATTCTGTTGCATAAAAAAAAAACTCGAACGAAGTAGGGGATACAGACTAGTAAATAATAATAATTACTCTGTACTGTTAACTCATAATGTAGCTAATTACAAAAAAAAAGTACTCTCTGTCTCTAATTATAAAGAAAATCAGACCCCATCTTCTTCTAACTCACTTATAAACTTTTTTATATGGAGTTTTTTTGATCCACATTTTTCACTCTTCCTCACAATTTTTGACACATTATTGTTCGGAAGGGATTCGCTTAAATACATACATTCTATAATTTATTTATAAATATACTCGTAGATAAAATACAACGAACTGGCTTATCACAAAAACGATGTTTAGCAAGCAACTTTTAGATGGAGACGAGCAATATGTTTGGATTCAATTTTTAGCCGATTAAAAAGTAAAATCTTGGTAGCCTTCATCTACTTAACCCTACCACAGTCGACACCAAGGGGGGGACTGGTTCCTCACCAGTTGCAACGCCAATTCAGTTCCTGACCGTTGTGTTACAAGACAAACATACTCTTCGTTTTGATAGACGTTTTATTTGACATACAAAATGTGTGGGGAAATGGGCAAAGCTGTACTTCGAGCGCTGACTGGAGCCTTACTTTGTGGATTGGTTTCTGATGCAGCGTATTTACAAGTAAGTTTTAGATTAAAATAGTGCTTAGTATAATTATTTATATTTATAATAAGTTTACTATTGTAATCTTTTGGAGGAAACAATAAAGAGTATCTATCTATCTATCTAGTTTGCAAGCAAGGGGGCTGCTGGAGGAGATTGCTCTTAGCGATAAGGCCGCCCATTGTTTCCTTGGTTTATTCTTTTCATATAATTGTTTGTATTATTTTTTTGTAAAATGTTTACAAATGTATTTTTTTTGGAGGAAACAATAAAGAGTATCTATCTATCTATCTATCTATCTATCTATCTATCTTAGATATTGCAAATTTGATAGGATTATTAGTATAAAATTTTGTAGAATAATTTAACCTTTTCATCGTATGCTTTTTAATTTATATTATTAATTTTTTTTTATGCAGCTTGGAACTGCAAACAAGCTGACGGCTGTATTATTTTATAAAGCGTATTATTGATGCATAGGGTTTTATTTACAGTTTTTCTTATGATATTTTTTTATGGGTGAAAATGGTATGGTAACGGAAACTCCGCCTGCGCTAACGGGATACGCTGGCGGAGCACCAGTGAAGGGTGATAGATGAGAATGAAAACAGGCCAGTTAGCCTATCATGATAAATTCATCAGGAATTAACCATTATAGTTTCCAGAGGAAACCGCGAGGAGGTCGACCTGGTTTAGTATATTGATAGCAATGTGCTGTAAAAAAAAAATTCTCAGTCTCCATTACTAACAATCCATTTCTCCCCTCCTTGTGGTGTTTTGTGTTTTACTCCTTTAGTTCACCTTAAGATATCTTGGGAATGAGAAGGATTGGATGATTCGTTATCATTTTAATAAAATATATATTATTATAAAACTCATATTTATAATTAATATAATAGATGCGTTATAATAGAATTTTAAATATGTTAATAATATTTATGGATTTTACCAACTTTATGGTTATACAAAAATGCAGATGAATGCATTTCTTTCGAAGTTGTCTATAAATTATCACTTAAACATTAATATATATATATATATATATATATATATATATATATATATATAATAACAGTGCAAACAAAGGTATTATTTTTATTAATGTACATAAATGGAATTGTAACTCCGTCAACGCTTATTATCTTTGGCAAGTTACCAGAGATGGATGATATGCGATAATAAAGTCAGGTCAATTGGCCTATCGTTATGAATTTTCCAAATATTCCATCAAACGATAGTGCTTAAATAGGTCATGTCAAGGTCGACTGAATATTGCTAATACTGGTATTGCTAGCAATGGGGTCTGGTGTCCCCAAGGCATTTTTTGCTAGCCATCTATTCCCTCCCAATTTATTTAAACAAGAGTGTTTGAAACAACCAAACAATATTATGTTACAAAAAAAAAAGAATTTTAATGGTGGCAAAACTAGTTATTTTAATTTAAAAACCAAACAGCTGAACTGATTTTGATAAAATTTCTATAAGACAAATTTGAAAGTATATTCTTTCAGATAAATATGAACCGATAGTTAAAAGGATTTTTTAACTATCGGTTCATAAATGGCGGAGTTATGAGGTAAGAGACATAAAAAAAATACAAGCGAATTGAAAACGTCTTCCTCTTTTGAAGTCGGCTAAAAAAATATTATGGGGCCCTAATAGACCTGAGAACTGAGCGGACACAAGCGGGGCAAACAAATATCGTTCAGCAAACAACAGCGGTCGGAGTCAATAATACATTGTTTGTTGGGGTCGCAGCGTCCCATTTGTTTGGATGGATATGTTTTTGTGATATGTTAGGGTTGTACCCATCGTTATTCCACATGTTTTTTTGTTGATAAGCTGTCACTGTTACAGTCAGAACGAGGTTGAGGTTTTAAAAAGGGGCCCCGGTGATAAATAATATTTGTGTTTGGTAAATTTGTTTGATAAGTAATTTGGAAATGTGAAACGGTCGCGCGAAGCGGATGAAACGATATAAATAAATTTGTAAAGTTTAGATTGTTCGTTAATTAATTAATTACGCTAAAATGGCTGGACAGATATGAATAAAACTTGGCACATAGATAGACATTTGAGAACCTTATTAAATTTATTTATTTATTTACAAGAAACATGGCAAGTGTATAGATGTTAACAATAGGTATAAGTACTCATATTTCGCCATAATTAGGCCATAATTAACTTCTACTACTTGTCATTATAAATTGTTTTTTTCTTTCTCTTTCTCTTGTCTAGTTTTTGTTCTCTATATCTACATGTCTCGTTGTGTGTCTTTTTTCCTCAACCCAATGGTTGTCTGGAAGAGATTGCTTTAGCGATAAGACCGTCTTTTGTACTTCATATATATATATATATATATATATATATATATATATATATATATATATATATATATATATATATATATATATATATATATATATATATATATATATATATATATATATATATATATATATATATATATATATGTATTATTTTAAAGTGGCACTATAAAAAGTAAACAAATAAAATAAATAAATGGTCGTAATCTCAATTTACGCGATAAATAAAAACAACAACAATAAAAAGTTGATCTGTTTTCTGCAAAGTATTTAGACGGACTACATTAAACACACCAGAAACATGTTATTACAATCACAAAGTGGTTGCTTTGCGGTTCCCCAAAGCGTTTAGAATTAATATGCTAAACTGCAGACACACAATGCTGGCTAACTGCAGTCGGTTTACGGCAAGTCTATTTAATACTTTGACAGTAATATGTGAAAATATAGTGTATAAAATAGAAGTACTCCCACTTTTAGTGTAAAATTACTTCTTCTTATCTATAGCATGGATAGAGACTGAATAGTCTAAATACACTGTCTTTTACCGCACGCACGCACGCACGCATTTACAGCGTACAGAGGAATAACACCTAAGTCCTCAGGAATGGCAAAGCATGGGGGGTATTATGGGCGTAACAGTATACTCTGTTATGTCCATGGTACTGCTCATGTCTGTAGGCAACGGTTACCACTTTCTATTAGGTGGACCTTTAGCATTGAAAAATATAACTTCAAATTTGTAGTACAATAAATTTTCATGTATAGTTTTCGAAATTATGTATACGGTAAAACAACGTTCGCCGAGTCAGCTAGTATTTTTATAAATTTTGACATTTATAATATTGTGTAATATTGGCATTTAAAATGAATTGTAGCCAAGTTGGCGGGTAGAAATGAGATTATTAAGAATTTTTTAATGAATTGTGGTGGTTGCGGTGACAAGTTTCACGTTTCGTTGTGGTAAATAACATTAATTAAAAATAAGTACAAAGTTTTACTATCAAAATTTGTAATCTATATTTCAAGCTTTTGTTGCTAAATTTGGTATATGTATAACACTTCGATAATGCAGTAATAGAGGCGAGTGAAGTATTTCTGAGGATAACACTCGAAAGTGGATATTTAATGTACGTTATTTTTTTTTTATATATAATAATTGGAAAATATTTTTTTTTATACAACTTAGAATGGCAAACAAGCTGACGGCCCACCTGAAGGAAAGTGGTAACCGTCGCCTATAGACATGAGCAGTACCATGGACATAACAGAGTATACTGTTTCGAGTATTCGGGGGGTATCCCCCATGCGTTGCCATTCCTGAGGACTCAGGTGTTATTCCTCTGTACCCAGTAATTTCACGCCATATCTCACCCTTCAAACCGAAACACAGCCATGCAAACACAACTGCTTCATGGTTGAAACACGAATGGGACAGAGGTACCCAAGCAATCGACTTTACATATTTCAATTACATGAATAATTGGATTGATTTACGTATATTTTTCTCGAGAATAATCGACTAGTTAAGTCGTATTATTGTTGTAATTAAAATATAACGTGTAATTAGGAAATTTTTAATATATTATTTATTATGGAAAAAATTAAGATAAAAGTTATTACAACTATTTTGAAAATGCATAAATTATTTATTTATTTATTAACTTTTTATTGCACTATTTAAGGAATAATATATACTGCATATAATTCACAATTATATTATTTAGTTCTCCACTTTTGCAGTTGTTTATAAATAGCAGTTAATATGTAATTTATTCATATGTATATTAAAATGTGAAGCTTTTTGATTAATTTTTTAAATGCCATATGAATTTTTAAAATTTTTCACTGAAGTCATTTCAAATATTTGCACGTCAAATCCATCGATGCATAACATTCAATTAGGACACGTTATTAAAATTGTACCAACGAGCCAGCTTTTGTTTTTATATAAACAAGCATTACGCCAACGTACGAGCAAACAGGATATTTTCCTATCATGATTATAACAAAGTGGCCTATAATTTTCGGACTTTCCAATAGCAATTCATAATTCACAAAGGGTAAAGTTTTGATATAATTGGTGTTTAAACTAGAGTTATAGCAATAAAAGGGCCGGCGAGTCGCGACCTTAAAATATCTAGTAGCAATAACTCGGCCCCTCATAAGGGAACACTAACTTTTGCAATTTTCCTTTCTCCGAGTTTCCCTTGAGCCCTTCAAAGGCGAATTACTGTTGGTTAAATTTACTCTCATTTTCGTCGGAGGCCGTGAAAGCCTGTTTTTTAGTTTTATTTCTTTGATCAAGCTCCTCAAAGTGGAAATTGTTTGAAACTTGGTCGTGGCACCAAATTGGTATTCAGTAGTAATTTCACAAATTCTCACCTTGTGGACGGGTGCCCTTTTTTATTTAATACTCGCCGCCTTCGGGTTGTTTGCGCCGCGTTCCGCGCCCGATGCTCACAGGATGGCGCTTTAGAAAATTTGCACCGTTGTGCCAACTCGAACCAACGGATAGACTATAAATCAGTAAGAATTTTGATTGTTTTTTTTTTTTCTTCTTATACAGTATTTATTTTTATTTTTGTCGCTTATTAATAATTTATATAATCATCATCTTTCTATCCTTATCCCAATTTTTATAATTTATATATAATATATTAATTAAATAATTTATTTTTTAATTTTCTTAAAATTATAATTACTAAGATTCTAAATCAGAGCTAGTGTTTCAGATAATTTTGTTCTTTTGTTGTAAAACAATTTACAATTTAAGGATGCTAACTGAGGTCCTTTCCACAATGTAAATGACAAATTTTCGGACTTAAAGTCGACATTAAGTATTTTTATGATTATTAAATCGATAGAAGTAATTTTATTTATTAATGAATTCATCTCTATACCCTTTTTTTAGTAGTGTTATTAAAAAAAGGGTATAGAGATGATTTCTTCACCATCATCCATTGAGTCTGCTACAAAATATTCACTTAGGGTATTAACTGTCCACTGCTGAACATAGGCCTTCCTCTATTGCGGGACTTCGTCAGTAGTTGCCACGTTTAGCAAGCGCGTTGGCAAGCAGTTAGGCTTTGGTGATGTTTTAAGAGGGACTCTGCTCATCCTTCGACCATAAAGTTTCCTTAGTCGCCTCTTACGACACCCATGGGAAAGGAAGGGGTGGCTCATTCTATGCTGGGAATCACACGGCAGTATTAATTATACTCACTTTTTTTTATAAAGTATATAAGGAGTTACTTCTCAGGATTTTTATTTCTCATTAAATCAATCCGAGCTATTCATAAGTGGTCCACTTATTGGCTACTCAGCTTCCTGATCTTTCTTTATTTTTTCCCCACTTACAATTTCTAAGAACATTTCTGTGACTGTTTTTATATAGGTATAATTAATAATTAATGTGCTCTGATTTTTGGTACAAATAAATAAATAAAGATGGACGAAAAATAAAATAAACGTACAAAGGTGCCGTTTTTTAGAAATCAACGCTACGGTTCCGAGAACAGGGCATGTTTTTTTTTTCATTAGTCTCTAAAAGATAAAAGTACACTCCTCGTGTTTGGCAACTAATAAAAACTCCAAGGAACCTCTCCAGTTATTGAAACTTTTTTATTAAAACATCAACGTATTAAAAATACTTACCAACTATTGGAATTACAACAGGCAGAGTTGTTCAAGTTACTACAATGAACTAACAGGTGTAGACTACAATGAAATAATAAGTTATAGAAGTTTAAGTCTTTGTCAGAGAGGATTTTATTTATTATTTTATTTTATTTATTTTATTTACACTTTATTGCACCAAATAAAAAGAGAAATAACAAATACAGTAAATATTAATGAGAAGTGATACAAAAGGCGGCCTTATCGCTAAGCAATCTCTTCCAGACAACCTTTGGGTAGAGGACATTGAGAAAAAGACAAAGAGTAGGTATCTATTTATTTTTTCATTTTTCTTTTACTTATGCTTTTCTTTTTTTTTAACATAGTTTTTTATTTCGTGCGTGTGCTACAGTAATACAAAATTGTCACAACTCAGTTTATTGGTTTCCCCTTAAAAGAGCAAAACACTGATATTCTGTTGTGGCTCAAAGCCATGTATAATTGGAAAATTAATTACGGTTTGTAAGACCAATCATGCTTAGAGATTAAATAGATGTTGACATTTCGTAAGTATACTAATAAAATATATATTTGCAATATTAATGTGAGTGTTAGCAAACGATATGTACCTAAAATCTAGTAAATTCGAGATCAAAACTTGCACTTTCCGGACTGCGCAACGCCGGGCGGCCGTGACAGGCGCAGATCGTTGCCCCCTCTCACTGCGCGTGCGCACCCAACTGTTTCGTAACACCCACTGGACTTGTTTGAATCGAGTCGGTAATATAACTTTCGTGTATTTATGATCCACTTTATAATTTTTGAAAGATTTTAGGAATACTATTGGAGACTCCTTGTCCATTTTATATTTTTTATAAAAATATTAATAAAATAAAAAGAGAATTTCATATTAAAAATAAAATAAATTACTAAATTATATAATGATAAAGAGAAGAAGATGAAGAGACTCGCTGAAAATCGTAGTGAGTGACAAGAGCTCCACCGACAAGAGCGTAGCTCTTAAATAGGATAGATAATGATAAAAAGTATTAATATATAATATGGAATTTAATAAAAGGCTGTGTGGTCCCGGCATGGAATAAGCCACCCCTTCTTTTCCAATAGGTATTGTAAGAGGCGACTAATGGAGGGCGAAGGTTGGGCAGCAGCGTCCCTCTCAAAACATCTCCAAAACCTAACTGCGATTGTCAAATCGCCTGCCAAACGTGGCAAATACTGGCAACCCTCCACTAAGGGAGAGGCTTACATCTACTTATTTATTCTTTATTAGCGACCCGTTCCGGTTTCGCACAGATGGACATTTTTACGTTTTAAAAAGTGGCCATTAAGGCTGCACACGCGATGGAAGCTTAAAAATGGAGTAACTTTTCCCGTTTTCCCAACATTTCCCTTCACTGCTCTACTCCGATTGATCGTAGCGCGATGAAAAGTATTCTATAACCTGACCAGGAGTATGAAGAATAATTGTACCAAGTTTCGTTAAAATCCGTCGAGTAGTTTTTGTTTCTATAACAAACATACAGACAGACAGACAAAAATTTTACAGATTGCATTTTTGGCATCAGTATCGATCACTAATCACCCCTGATAGTTATTTTGAAAATATATTTCATGTACAGAATTAACCTCTCTACAGATTTATTATAAGTATAGATTGCACAATAAAATTTTGTACAAGTGACAAGCTTAATGCCATAATGCATTCTCTACCAGCTAACTATTAGGTAAAAACATAAATATATATGGTTATACTATAATATATGAAATATAATAATATATGAAATATAATAATATATAAAATATAAATGTATACATCAAAACGACGATAAGCATTATGAGATATAGTAACTATTGAGTAACTTGTAACCAGAGCTGGTTTTATCGACTCAACAAATAATTGAAATATCAAGCATTGAACAATTAATTGCTGACATAACATACGAGTACAACTATTATGTTATAAAAAAAAATAATAATAAACACGTAACTCGCATTGCTAGTTACATCGGCACCTACATATAAAACTGTTAAACTTTTATAGCAGTTTATTAAATTAATATTAAAATTTATTATAATAACTAAGAAAGTTATACATAATTATATAAGACTCTTATGTAAGTTAACAAAAAGTAGGTCAAGTTCGTGGTTTGTGTAACGAGCGGCCTTTAAGCAGAGCAACTTAGTATTGCATAGCGTGAAAGTTAGTTAGCATACGTTTAATTGTATATAATTATTTTAATTACAATATGAATGCATAATTTAATATTGTGTCCCTTAAAAAAAAACATAAGATTTCAGTGGGAGCATTTTGAAAGTAATACACGTTACGTGAAAGTAATACGGCGAAACAGTATACTCTGTTATGTCCATGGTACTGCTCATGTCTATAGGCGACGGTTATCACTTTCCATCAGGTGGGCCGTCAGCTTGTTTGCGATTCTAAGTTGTATAAAAAAAAAAAAATTTGTATGTTAGATTTTCATTATAATTTTATTATTATTAAAACAAATTTATTAAATAATAAGTAAATTAAATCTATACTGATATAATAAAGCGATAGAGTATGTTTCAACGTGCTAATCTATGGAAATACTAGTCTGCATTTGGTAGCTCTTTTATTTAGGAAGGTTATGTTAAACTATTTAATGTCACGATACGACCACAGGTGAAGCCACGGGAGATAGCTAGTAATACATAAATCTAGAATTACAGTTAAATTAATAGTATATAAGTAATAATAATATTAAAGGTTAATGACTCGAAATCATTAATTATTCAACACTGTAGAGCATTTTAATACATACAGTTGGCGAACATTCGATACACAGTATTAATGTAGGTATACGAATCATCATCATCATTTCAGCCGTTATCTGTCCACTGCTGGACAAAGGCCACCATAGATTGCCATAAGAAATAGTCCTTAGCCATCTGCATTTATTGACTTCCTGCAATGCATTTGAGGTCTATCTAGTGGATGGTCATCCTACACTGCATTTACGCCAATCAAGAATCTTTCTTCCCCATCGGTTGTCGGTTTTACTATACGTACGGTATACGTTTACATACTGCAAATAAGGATTTAAAATAATTTCATGTACTTTGTAAAAAAAAAGATTTTAATTTTTAAATGAATGTCGTTTTTGTTACAGCAATACGAGCCTTATGATGTCCAGTACCAACAAGCGCTGTACCGCAAACCGTTAAGAGAACACGAGAAGCCACAGGATCTCCGCAACGTGCCAGGAGTGCCCGGGGTGGATTATCCCATCTACCATCAGGTTCCTGACACCAGCTTCTCATGTGCTCACGTTCCCGTTCATCCAGGAATGTACGCTAATGTCGAGACTGGATGCCAGGTGAGTAATATAAAAACGAAAACAATTTTTTATACAATTTAAAATAGCAATCAAACTATGGACATGAACAGTATCGGGGACAACAGAGTATATTGTGTCACCTATGATACCCTTTCTCTGTTGCCATTTCTGAAAACAAAGGTTTTTTGCCTTTGTACTCTGAAATTTTACTGCTATATCCCCTTCAAACTTGGAGTAAAAAAGCTATCAATATACTTTGTCAGATCGACTTTAACGTGATCACGCTGAAAACCATCGTGCTGAATTCCAGGTGTATAACATCACGATGGGTTAACTGACCTGCCTTTTCATTCTGTCTGTCCTGACCTGTTTTCGCAGGCAGGGTATTAGTGAGGGATGATAGGTGAGAATGAAAGGGCAAGTCAGTTAGTCCATCGTGACGAATTCAACAATAAATTAGTCACGATAGTTTTCAAGGGGAACCACGTGGAGGTCGACCTGATAGAATATATTGATAGAAATGGGGTCTAACCTCCCCATTATTAACAATTTCTTTCCCCCCCAAGCTACTAGATTAGGTGTTGTACAATTTTAAAATAAATATTTAACAAAGAAAAGAATTATTTGCACATGTCCTATAAATAGTTTTAGGCGAGTGTTATCTGTCGCTTTGGTGAAAGAGAAAGCTGCCACTTGGGCATTGTTCCAGCGGCCCGAATAATCTTTACCTCTCTGGGGCTTTAACGCTAATGTACTCGTATTCGTAAATGCCAAGTTACTTATGTTGCTTACGCGGGGGTCAGGTTTACGTTTTTATTCTTTTGGCGAATTACGTATCGAATTGCGTAAATTACATATTTTTTTAGAGAATCCTCAAGTAATAATAATATAAATGTACCTTTTGACGTCTTATGAAATTTGATATACATGTATGTATGTACACTTTATTGCACCATTTATAAAATAGTAAACACATTTAACTGTAATAAGAAATGATACAAAAGGCGGCCTTATCGCTAAGCAATCTCTTTCAGACAACCTTTGGGTAGAGAACATTGAGAAAACAAAGAAAAATAAAGGGTAGGTGTATAGGGTACATGTATTATTATTAAGTATTTTCGTTGTTGGGCAGGGTGCGTCTTAGTACAAATAGTGTCCTGAAGACAATTGTCGGTAAAATGGACTGTCCTATCCTAAAATATTTGGTGGGACAGGTTATTAATGCAAGAGCGTCATGACCGCTCATTTATTAACATAAGTTAAGTAAATTTATAACTAACAATTTAGGCCTTATGTTGTCTAAATAAATAAATATTCTTATTATATGACGAAGAAAGATATTATCTCGATCAATAAACAAATCTCGATCTCGTGAACGAAGTCGCAGGTAAAAACTAGTTTAGTATATGTACTTACTCATCATTGCCGAGGCTTTTCATCCTTTTTTTTTAATACTTCAATTAAAGATCTCCTGTAACCTAAACTGTAATTACTCATCATTGCCGAGGCTTTTCATTCTTTTTTTTTAATACAACAATCAAAAGTCTCCTATAACCTAAAAGTCTCATACTTAAGGGGCTACACTTAGAGTAATTTGAACTCGGAAGGGGCGAAGCTGGTCCATTCAGGCTACACCTGTTTATCACAAACAATTTTATGTGAAATATTTTGAAATTTCTGTCTTAGAAGCAGTAAGAAAAAATGTTAACATTGTTGTGAACAATACATTTGGCTTTTTTAAGACAGTTAGAAAGACAAAAAACTGACTGCCTAGCTGATGGAATGTTGTAACCATCAGCTTTGGGGGGAAAGGGATTGTTAGTAATGGGGTCTAATAGCCCCATTACTGGCAATATACCCGCTCAGATTGACCTCCACGTGGTTTCCCCTGGAAACCATCATGTTTAATTCTTGTCGTATTCATCAGTGTGGGCCAACTAATCTGCATTCATTCTCATCTATCATCTTCCACTGGTGCCTCGTCGGTGTATACCAATAGCGCGGGCGGGGTTACCAATCCATTTTCACCCATTAAAAAAAAAACCATCAGCTTTAGATATAAACATTACCATGGATATCATAGAATACACTGTGATGCTAATGATACTCCTTATACTTTGTCATTCCTGAGAACTATAACGTTATGCCTCCGTACTTTGTAATTTCATTGCCATATCCACCCTTCAAATCAAAACACAGTCATGTAAGTACAGCAATGGACAGAAGTACAGTAAGGAACAGAGGCATCTATGCAGATGTTTAAGAACAAAGTCTCCCTCTGATACAGGTTCGCTAGTGCGGGGTTCAATGTACTCGCTGTTGTAAATTTTTTGTATTTAATAAATAAATAAATCAATAAAATATAAAAAAAAATGATGATTTGCTCATTACGATAAAACAAAATACTGAAAGAAACTAAAATGATTAATAGCCGAGCATTATTAAAAAGTCTACAATCGCTATCGTTGGCGCAGGAAAATGTTGGAAACCTTCCAATCTTTGCTCGGTTTAATATCAAAAGGTCCCAAATCATTGTGTACTGTTAATTACCCCAACTATCTAAGAAAACAGGCATTATTGCTACATAAACCGTATCTCCATCAGGCCAGATTGTTTCTGTAGTGTAAATATTATTACGAAACGACGTCGGGATCGTGACTCGTCGCTCGTGAATTTAATCTCTACCCTCATTCACAGATGGAATTATTCATTAACCGTGCAATAAGTAATACAGTTACTATAAACATTGGTAATGTTATAGTCACATTTTTTTAATGTTGGTAAATTGTTATGAATATTGATAATATGAGAATACAATTTCTGTCTAATTTCGGTAACCTTTTTCAACACATTACAAATTAAAATTTCAAAACATGGCTACAGAATTTTATAAGATAGACATGCTTTTGACTTCTCTTTTAAAGTATATTGAAGTTATATATATATATATATTATTTCATTACCAAACGTATTTAAATCAATTAATTAGGTAAACAGAGGATATAGTTGCTATAAACAGTGGTAATGTTATAGTCACATTTTTTGGAAGTTGGTAAACTATTATGAAGGTAATTATCAGATAATGCAATTTCTGTCTAATTTCGGTAACCTTTTTCAACATATCATTACAAATTAAAATTTCAAGAGATGGCTTTTGAGCGATAAGGTCAATTTCCTCATTTTTGATTATTTTTTGTAACTAAATTATATTAAATTAATTAATTATTGTAATCTTTTTCATTATGTTACAATAAAGAGTATTTATTTATCTATCTCAATTCGGTTGTATTTTTTATGCTTGTTAACTCATAACTCCGCCAGTTCTAAACTGATTTGGAAAATTATTTACTTATCTGAAAGAATATATTTAAAAAATTGATTCCACAGAAATTTTAACAAAATCAGTTCAAATTCAAATCACTGAGTTTTTAAATAAAAATAACTAATATTACCAAAATTTAAGTCTATTTTTTTTGTTGAACACAATCTTATTTATTACCAAGTCTTCAGGCAAGTTAATGTCCATAGAAAGTATTTAAAAAAATGCTTCTTTATATATTTTTAGAACATTTAGAACAGCTTTTCTGAGAATTCGGAAGTTTTCAACTTCGACGTACAATCACAAACCTTTCAGGTCTACCGAAGTTGGATTGGGGTAACATTTGCTGAATTTTGCCCATGACACATGTTTTGGTGTTATTTTATCATCGTAAAAAATATATAAAAATATAATTATTTTCAATAAAATTTTTTTATGCAATTTAGAATGGTAAATAAGCTGACGGCCCATCTGATGGAAAGTGGTAACCGTCGCCTATAGTCATGAGCAGTATCATGGACATAACAGAGTACACTGTTTCGTCCATGATACCCCCCCATGCGTTGCCATTCTTGAGGACTCAGGTGTTATTCCTCTGTACCCTGTAAGTTCACTGCCATATCTGACCCTTCAAATTTTAAATAACAAAAAATAGAATATACAGTAATACCCATGGCATACCTTATGCGCTACCATTTCTGAGGACTAGAGTGCTTCTATATCCTATAATTCTAATAGTATATCTCACCTTTCAAACCGAAACACAGCCATGCAACCATTGCTGCATCACGATAGAAACACGAGTGGCACTGATTTTTGTTCAATCTCTTTTTAGTAAAACTCAGAGTGTAGGAACCTTAGAACGATTTCCAATTAGTCTAATTTACAATAATAAAATAAGTACGTGTAGGTAAAAAAATAATCAATTCTAGTAGATAGCTTTTAATATGATAAGAAACAATTTCTAATTGTATTAAATGTTTTGTGTGAATTTGTGAAATATATGAGTTTCTTCTTGTTCAGCAAGCGGCTTTTGTGACATTATTTTTATAATTTATGTTCATTTCATAATACGATGAATTTAAATTAAATTAAAACAGGAATTTAACTTCATACTTTAACTAAATAACGATTTTTTTGTCATTTCGACAATTATATCGATTTTATCCGGAAGTCTTCTTTAGAGGGCATACAGCGTTTTGCGTCTTGCACTGCTACAATTGTCGGAAACGACAAACACAGTAAGTTCGTTAAATTCTCGTTGTGCATGCATATAGACTTTTGCAATGTTATACATTTGAGTAATATGTATTTTCTAACGTTGATTTATGTTACAATTACAAGAAAGCAATACTATCTGTTCATGACATAAAAACCTTTTTGCATTGTTTATAAAACTAATTATCCGGCTCGAAGGACCAAAATCGATATATAAATCGTAGTTTAAATTGCGAAGATAAATAAAACACTACAATGGAATTTTCTCATCTTATGTTGTTTTTTTTTTAATTTGTGTTTATAATTGTACTCCTTTAAAGCTTGAATAGTTTTATAAGCAATCCAAAAAAGTTTTATGTGGTGGACACTGTCTCCTACTGTAAATACAGATACTGGTAAAATTGTTTTTATACTGGTACTGTACTTATTGGTTATTTCAATACATCATTGCTATTATTATATGGTAAAATTGAGTCTACTTGAGTCGTTAAGGCGCCAAGGG